TTTATTAAACTAGCCGAACGCTGCGCTCTTTCACTCTGCTGGAGATACTTTATCTGCCGCGTCCGAAACGGGTTATCAAAATATCTGTGCTCAGCTGAAGCGTGAGTTGATTAACTCTCGGTTGAGCCACATTTTTTGGTAGTTAGCACACGGGGATAACTATCCACCGAATGGCCAAAGCCATAGCCATAGCCATAGCCATGACCATGACCAGCTCCGGCTCCTTGGCGAAGCTCCACTTGGTTCATTTCGTTTTTATTTACGTGAACTACTCTGGTGTCCAATAAAATATACGCAGCGAAATCAGATGCAAAACGTGCGACAGGGAGGCAAGAGATTCTCAGCATCTTGTCGCTGAGACACGCGGACGCACTTAATGAGCAGCGATCTTAAATCTTAAAGTCGGACAGGGGCGGCGGTGGGGAGAAAGGAGGGGGTTCTTCGATGGAGACGTTGTATCCACAAGAGCGTGCATCTCAGGCCACGAATGCCAGTGTGTGTGTGTGTGTGTGTGGAAAGTATCTGGAACTGGCTCTGGCGGGGCTTCATCTTTCTGCACTCGAGAATCTGGAGATCGGTGGAGCCAAGAGAACCCGAGAGAGAGGCAGCTCTCAAATGCTTATGAAGATATAATGAAAAGCAGCACAAGATTCAGACCCCGACTCCATTTGCTGGCTCTGTGCGAGTGTGAGTGTGTGTATCTGGAAGTGGAGCCTGCATTATGTGGCAAGTTCCATCTCCATCTCCATCTCACCTGCAAAAAAAGATCAATGACAATTTATTGTCATGACTATGTAAGTTCTCACAGGCGCAGGCGTGCTCAGATGGCCAGATACTCGTGTATCTGCATCTGCATCTGCATCTGTTGGACGCTTTTCCATATTTCAAAGTGACATTCGACTGGCGGATTTTGTTCGGTATATATTTGTGGTTTATTGGTTGTAAAGGTAAAATGAAATCTACTTAGGCTGGTTCCTTAGACAAATATCACACACATTGTTAACGCTAGCTAGGCTTAGTTTATACAGATACATTTACGGATAGGTAAGCTTAATACTCGTGGATAGAGTCTGGCTTTACAAGTTAGGTATTTTGGTGGATCACCCTTTAATACTCGGATCTCCTTTGGGCCAGTGGCGCGGGCAGACGGCTCCTTAAGAATACGTTTTCAAAGACTCTAATTTAGTGGGTTACAAAGATTGTAAGATACCATTTTTCTAAGACCCCCCTCCCCTTGATATAGGTCCGCCTGGGCCACTGACCCCTTGACTACTGCTATCCCGATCCAGATGAAGATGCACCCACTGCTGCTCCGGTATGTACAGCTTATCAGTCGAGTTGGGAGAGGCTGGATAGCTAGATTCACTAGCTTCCCTGGCACTTCTGCACCTGACCCAGCACCCTGTCGATGCGCTCCACCAGGATCTTCACCGACTTGTCCGGCAGCGACGGCAGGACGTCCCGCACGCCGGCGCTCGTCGTCCGCTCGAAGAGGTCGCGCAGCCGCCGTCCCGCTCCCGCCGCCCGCAGGCGACGCAGTGCCTCGATCGTGGGCCGCCGGAAGACGCACAGGTTGTCCAGCAGGAGGCTGTGGTACGCCTCGTACTTCTTCAGCAGCCGGTAGCCGTGGAGCAGGCCGCTCTCGTTGTCCAGGAAGACGAGCAGCTGCGAGGCGGACTGGCGGGCCAGGTTGTGCGCCGGCGCGGCCATGATGTCGGCGTTCCATTGGAAGTTGTACAGGTTATTAACCACGCGATCGAGGTTCGCGATCAGGTAATCGAAGACGATTAAATCGGACCATTGTGCCAATTCAATTAGTCGCTGCACCAGCGCTCCGTTGCCCATCGCCGTTGCCGTTGCCGTTCCTGTTCCTGCCTCCTCAATCGCGTTTGATTGATGAGCGGAGCCGGGCGAACTGGCAGCCCCCAACCGCTTGAGTAATCCCTGCGTCTGCGGCTGCCCTTCAGGTTGCATGTGCCGCGTCAGGTTCCAGACGTCGTGCTTGTTGAGGTGCCGCTCCAGGGGCTGGAAGGGCTGCGGAATCCCGGCCGGCTCCAGGTCGGCCAGCCAGCGGGTCAGCACCACCGGTCGGCGCTCCTTCCACTGGGCCTGCGTGATGTCGCCCAGGGCGGCGGCCCAACTGGGTGTGCTGGTGTCCACCACTGTGGCGGCACTGGGGGCCAGGTTGGTTATGTTCAGCAGCTGCCCCAGGTAGTAGCTGAAGATCTCGCCCTGGATCTGATCCGTGTTCTGGCGGTAGCGGGCACAGGCCCTGGTTCCGTCCGCAAAGACCACCAGGCGGTTCTGCATCCGGCCGCAGCCCTGCTCCAGGCGCACCACTCGTCCCTGCTCGCCCACGAAGCGCTCCCAGGAGAGCTGGTCCTGCGAGGCGAATCCCTTGGGCAGAGCCCGCTCCACGGTGGGTCCCCAGAAGACGTCGTCCTCGATGAGGCCCGCCTGGTGCTGGCTGGCGGGACTTGAAGACGGGGTAACTGTCTCCTGTGTCGGAACCAATCGCTCCGTCACCTTCTTGGACAGCCTCCTCTCCGGACCCTTGCGGTACCTTCCGCTGGCCGTGCGCTGGACATGGAACTCCTTGATGCTGCCGTCATCGGTGTCCAGCTTCTTCACCACCATCGAGTCCGGGGCATCCTTGTCCTGCTCCAGGTGGAAGGCGTTGCGGAACACCTGCTCGGCACTCAGCTCGGCGTCCGCCTCCTTGATGAACTCCACGCGGTAGCTGCTCAGCGGCTCCACGGCGACCATCTCCAGCTCCTGCGTCAGGTCTGACGGGGAGTCGGCGTCGGAGTGGGAGTCCAGGTGGCGGGGCAGACCGAACATGGGCACGACCACGCCCAGTGCCATGCCGAAGACGAAGGCGGCCAGGATGCTCAGGAGGCAGGCGCGTCGCTGCAGCGAACGGCGCCGGCGCAGCGTCAGCAAAGTCATGTGGGTGGCCTCGCTGGGATTGGGACTGGAATTGGTACTGATACTGGAATTGGGATTGGGATTAGCCCTGTTCTCGGGCGCTGCGATCACGCTGCAGGTGAGTTGTGGCTGCTGAGGACGGCCGCTCAGGTCAAGGCCCACTATTTGCTGTGCTTGCTGTAGTTTCTGTTGTCCCGCTTCCAGGCGCTTGATGTCGTACATTTTGCCGGCGAGCCGAAGATCCCGATCCCTAGTTCCCTGTTGCAGCCCAGACCTCAGGCTCAAAGTTCAAGCCGCTCATGGGGGGCGGGCGATTTCCGTAGGGGGGGATTTCAGGGGGCCTTTACAAAATCGTGAAATTAATTTCTGTCTTTGTTTAATAAATATCGGTGGTTCTCGGTTGCTCGCTGACTGGCTGGCTTTTCGTCCTCCGCTCCTCGTTGGGGGACCGGTTCGAATTTTTCCTCTACGATTTCCACAATTGAAATTGAAACAAAAACCCAGAAACGTGCTCCTCCTGCTTTGGCTCCTTGATCGCTCGCTGATCGTCGCTCGTTTATTTATTTTTATACTCTCCGCTGGACCGCGTCGCTTTTTTAGCTTTTTTTTCGCTTTTTTCGGGTTTGAGTTCGGTTTGGGGTTTGGGTTTGGGGTTTGGGTTTATCGATCTATTTTCTGCACGATCACTTGCTGTAATTTTTTATTATACATTTTTGCTGGCCGTTTGTTTGTTTGTTTGCTGGCGTTGTAAGCCCGGCGGGTTAATATTTTGCGGGCTGGCTGGGCTGGCCGGCTTGCCCTTCAGCTGAACAGTTTCTCTTTTTGTTTTTAATTTCTGGATTTGTGCAGTTGGCGATTCCGGTGCGCCGATAAAAGCAATTTCGTGGCTCTGAGCTATTTGCCACACCGGCTATATACACTTTGTATGCTATATACACAGGGACACACACACTTTGGCACTCTGGGTGGGGGGGTTCGCACTCGAATTCCCAGATTCCCAGCCTTCCAGCCTCCCGATTCGCCCCGATAATTGCCCGCGAAGGGGGCAAAGAACGCGACAAGTCTGTGTGTTTGGGCCCAGGGAGAAGACAAAGTCCTAGGCTCCGCTTTTTAGGCTTTATCAATTTAATTTCTTGTCTCGCACCTCGGCCACTCCAACTCTCCAACTCTCCGACACTCGGGCACCTTAGCCTCGCTTTACTTTATTTTATTTTACTTGACTTTATTTTATTTTAGGCTTTTTGTCCGCATTCGATCGTCGTCGCTGCGCACCGAACGATGTGAGGAATTTTTATGCCTCCGCTTTATGTATTTCGCTGTCTATGGCTTTTCACTCCTTGTCGCCCGATTCGCTTTCTGGTGTTCGAACGCGTGTTTAGATTGTCGCACTGTATCTGAATCGGAACTGAAGGTGTTGTATCTTCCACTTGGTGGCTGAGTATCTGACGGATGTGCGACTGCGCGCCTGCGTACCGCTCGCTTCGAGATTCGCTGACAGACTGGCGGTGGAGCGGCTCTCGCCGGGCTTAGTTAAAGACACGCGGCCGAGTCGGTTTGGCCCTCTCAATCCGCTCTCTCTCTCTGCGTTTTGGCCCGGATCCTTGGCTTCTTGCCGGTTTTGAGTCGAGTGAAACCACTGCGCTCTCCCAAGACAATCTGCTCTCTACCCAAATCTACATCCTCTCTCACCAGCATAAAAAATAAAATAGAAATAATCCCAAAACAAGACAAATTATTTTTAATAAGACTTTTAATTGTTGAGCCCGCCTTTGGGTGTGTCTAGGAAAAGTGCCAAGACCTTATTAATGTTAATTGGTGGCAATCTGGAAACATTATTCCATCGTGTCGGTGATAAACACTAATTAAGTGTAGAAAACATGTTTTCCAAAAACAATAACGCCTCATTTTAAACTTCATTTTCTTTAGGGACAACCATCTCATAATATTTTTTTGATTGTTAAGTGTTTTTTAAAGTATTCTAGCTTTTACAAATTATTTTGATGGTATTTTTGTATATGTATGTTGAATTTTACATTTTCAAAAAGCTTTATTTTCATTCTGCTGGTGGAATATATAATTAGTATTTACAGCAACGGTTTTGTATAGACTGATAAATTGCGTACTTCATAATAGCCCCCTGTGAGTTTGACCTCAAGTCCTAGCTTATTGTTTGCATAAATCTTTCCAGTAAAAGTGTAATTAGCCTCAGGTAGATATTGCGGTATGTCTTGCCCGATGAAATTAAAACGATTTACAAAATATGTGGTGTTCTGAAAAGAAGTAAAATTAATGAGAAAATACCTTAGATCTGGAAAAGAAATAACACTTACTTTTTGGAAAGGACACTTGTCGGGAAAGTTGACCACTGCCCTCCGTATAGCTTGGTAGTATGCTCCCAGCAAGGAGCGTGTATCGGTATGTTTTTTCAATTGACAAAAATCCAGTCTGAGATTCTTAATATGTGTGGACTTATTCTGACCTTTGTTCATAAGTTTCACATCGCAAACTCCCACCAATTTGTCGGCTGCCTTTTGGTCATCAATGGTCACAAAAACGTTTAGTGCCGTTCGTGAATAAAGTTGACATTCGATTTTTGAAAACACGTTGTTCCTTAAGGTACATTCTATGCTGTTAAACACTACTAGCTGAGGAAAAAATACAACATACATATATTATACACATTAAATGAAAATGGGTTAATATTCTTAATCTTTTGGAGAAAAGACTGCTAACAAAAATAAGAATATTTCAAAGGGAAATATATTGAATTTTATATTAAAAAACCTTTTTTGGTTCCCCGTCGGCGAGTGAAATCCATCCCAAAAGAGCCAGGGCTCCAAAGAGGTAGTAGCTTCGATACATTTTGCAAACTGAAATATAGAACGGAAGTATTATTGCATAAAGTATTTGCTATGGAACACTTAAATGGGTCATTTCAACAGTAAAATAGATTGTAGCCGAAATTATCAAAGTTATCCAGCTGAATCGATCAACTTTCAATTAAAATACACGTGCTTGTGTTTTGACATGTCCATGTAGAAACTCATGTAAAATTACTGTCAAGAGAAGCGATCTTGATTTTCACTCAATTCACCTGAGCGAGAAAAGCACCTTTTGAAGAAATCTCTGAGAGAGAGGGATACAGAGAGAGAAAGAGAGAGAGAGTCCGTTCTGTGGGAGGCTTTTTAGAGTGCGTCTCGTTGTTGCCCCTGTTGATTTTTATGCTCAACGCGGCACATTTGCTGCGCCACATTAAGAAACTAGAATTCGCCACGAAGATAGCGGTACGAAGAGGCATGAGGGGGCTACCATTAAGATTACGTTGTGGGGAAGCCGCTCACGAGAATATCGGGGCACTTCCTCCCGGAAAAGAGGGATCCTTAAATCAAAAATAAAGTCCTTAGTTTTTTTTTGGTATCATAAGAAATAAGCAATTTATATAGCTTTGGCAGGCGATTTCGAAGTATTATGTTGCAGAAATTCCTAATAGCTTTCTTTAAAATATTGAAAAACTTGAAAGTGCTTTCCAGACAAAAAACTACTTCAATAAATGACAAATTAGCTGATATTACTCATAGCCGATTGAGCTTAGCGGAAAATATTATCTTAAAAAGTTTCTGATGTTTTACTTAAATGGGTTCAAATTTATTTAATAAAACTTTCTAAGAAATTAATATTTTAGGGGCACAACAAAATTTAACATAAATTTGTGGTAAGAAATAGATAGGAAAAGAAGAGCCTTCCCCTTTAGGATTATCATCATCATTCTAGGGTACAAAGCGAAGAAGGAAGAGCATTTCAGGAACGAACGAAATACCTAAGGAGCGAACGAAGCTACAGAACGGAGCCAGAAAGGAGAGAAGAACTCAAGTAAGAATGCGATAGTAAGAACCGACATTTCGATATCCCCTATTATTTTATAGTGCTTTAGACAAGTAGGTTAAAATGTAATGGACTCTACTTAAACCGCTATCAAGTTTCCATGATAAATCCCAATACTTACAGTACCCATATCAATTCCACTTCCTCTGATTAACTTGACACTTTTAGAGATCAGCTCTTTAACGTTTATGAACTGGAACTTATAATTTTACAGTTAAAAGCCCATTTCTTCTAAGACTGGGCCATTAAGCTAATACAAAACGCATTTAGAGTGATATCAAATTTATAATTATTGACTGTCTAAAGGGCACGAATATTATAAATTTCAAAAGCCCCAGAACCGCTCTGTATTGATATGCTAAATAAATATTCAAATCAATTTTGACTTTGAAAACCATATGCCCTCATCAGCCAGGGATACTGGGTATGAAAACAGTTGGAAAAAATATGATCAAGGAATGTAGACATAACTTGACAGCGTGTTTAGAGAATTTCTACTCGGGCCCGAGGACAGAGTCGCGATCTGAGAAGACTCCGCTCCGAAGACTCGGCTGGAGAATCGGGAAGACGAGGCGACGGCAAACGAAGATAACAACAACTTGGGCCGCTGCATTCTTCAGTGTCTGCGTGAGAGAGAGTGAGCCAGTGAGAGATCCAACCGGGTTTTGACTCAGAATTGGGCTCACGATTTTTCGGGTGCAGTTTAATTTAATAAAGTGAGAGCATGTTCGGGCCTAATTGAATTTGCAGTGTTGGCGCACTGATCGAACCAGAAATCAGCGCTCTGATTCGCCGGCAAACAAAGCATAAAAACCAATGGGTGAAATTCCCAGTCGACAACCCACAATGCACAAGTTAATTATGCGCCAGTCGAATTTGATGTCTTTCCCAAAAAGCTTTTAAGTGGGATTTTGTTTGGGGATCGAACATTATCAGTTGAGCGCCATCAATTGGGAATTTCGCCACTAAAAGTTGACTCGGTTTCCATTTTGATTTGTCGCTATTTTTGTGTCTGTTTTCTTATTTGCCATATGCCCCGCAGTAATGTGTCTGTTGAAATCGTCAGTTTAAGTCAAATTAATTAACATTAATTTTTGTGGCTCGTTTCGAGGCATGAAATCAACCGGGTGGCTGAGCTCAGCTGAGCTCAGCTCTTTTCTTTGGATGTGTGTAAAATTAATGTCTGTTTTGATGATAAATTGGAGCTTGTTGGAGCTCTGTTTTATAGATTTCGTTTCTGACTGACTCTTGCCAATATGGTGGGAACTAACGAACCGCTGGTGGTCGCTCGAGGAGTCGGGGAGCAGAGCGTTATAGTTATGACCTGGCCAGCGCCGGGCCCAGGGGTTAATCGAATTAAACAAATACCTGACAGAGAGCTGAACTCTTTGAAAAATGATCTATTATGGGCCGGCCGTGTAACTGTGCCCTGTCTTCTCTGATTGCCTGTTGATGGCTGCCCGGCCAAGTTCGTTGCCTAAGTCTTTCGTTGTGGGAAACACACACATGCGAGCGCAAGAGACACTTTGCGGCGGCTCAGCTCTCGTTTTAATTATTTGCGGGCTGCGTATAAATTTCAGGCAAAACGAACGGGCAAAGAACCTCCAAAAAGTGAGGTAAAGGAACGGGGAAACACACTGAAAGCAAAATCAATTTGCGCCAAAGATTACGGGTTGGAAATGAAAAATGAATCGGTCAAAGGTGAGCAGAGAGTGAAAATAGCTTGTGGAACTAACGATGTGGCATTGAGTAGATTGGATTATGTTTAGAGGTACACTTTTAAATATTTTACTCTTAGGTTTTAACGGTCTATCGAGTACAACTAGTTTAACTCATTTAATATTTATAGAACTTACATTCACTTAATCAACAGTATTATTAGATTCGATTAATGCTTTAAACATTGCACTAGGATAGAAAAACCAAATCAATTAAAATTTAAGTCGATTATATTTTTCCCAGTGCAGGTACAGAAACGGAAAGCATTTCTCGAAGTTTGTTAAGCGCAAATTCCAGGGATGTTTGCAGTGCGCAACAATTTGGAACATTTTGTTGAACACAAGAGGAGCAAACAGAGAGCAGCCAGCGGAAAAATGAAGTAAAAAAGCCTCAGACAACGCCTTGTGGCCAACGAAAGTGAACTGTGAAGGACATGAGACACGGGCCGGTGCCCCGCCCCCTCCTCCAGCTGCCCCTTTTGGACGCGGCAGTCGGAAACTGGATGGAACTCGAGTGTTAGCTGCCTTTGTTTGCTCTGCTAGATTCCAGACCACTCATCCTAGACCCAGACGCTGGCGTCGTCGCTGACGATGACGACTTGGACGACCTCAAGAGGCAGGAACTCACTCACTGCACCCAGAATCCCCAGTATCCCCAGCGCCTCCTGGCACCTCGCCCTGGGATATCGTCACGGGCCGTCAGCGCCTCCATCCCCACAGATCCTAGTCCCAGCCGCACTTGAGCCCGGCATCAACCGCATCATCCAGCGTCATAGTCACAGTCGCAGTCACATCCATATCCACATCCCCATCATCGCCACTTGCCACGGACTGTGCCTGCGACCTCGACTGTCGCGCCATCAACTTGGATGGGTCTGTTGAAGCATCTCCGCAGACAGCAGGGCACAGTGGTTCCAGGTTCCAAGTGCTAGAAATAATATACTGCCAATACTTTCTAAGAAAATGTTTTTTAAGTTAAATAAATAAATAAGGACTGGATCTGCTCAATTCAGAAAAGGAATATTTTTGTAACAACATTTGATATTATTATCCTCCTCTTGTGAGAGAGACTTCTTCAAGCCTAAGCCGACTTAACCTCGAGTTGACTAAGACTTTTGTCTACCAAAAAATATGTAAAATTCGTTTAATGTAAACTAATTCTTTTTATAACATTCGTTTATATTTCATCTGAAAACATCGTAATACATTCCTTACTATCCTTGATTTGCAAGGCTTCCGATTATAATTTGTTCGGTTTATCCCATTTCAACCTCCTTAATACCACTGTTTCGGGTCAGAATCACATTTGTAGCCAGACGCAGGGTCTGTGGCTTTAGCACTAGGTGCCACGGCCTGACCTGAGTTAAACAAATTCATTAAAAACTCGTCACTTTGCGCAGATCACGCTGACTTGGCACATCTTGGCTGGGGGCCCATCCATCCGACATCCAGTATCCACCATCCACTATCCACCATCCATTCTCGATCCTCGTCCTCTGGCTACAGTCCTCCAAGTCTTCCACATCCAAGCTGCATCCTCGTGTCGAGCACCGGGCACTTGGTGGTGTGTTGGTTTTGGAACTGGCCTGTGTTTCTGGCCAATGAAGTGCCGGCCACGTTGCTCATTTTCTCAGTTTTAGGGCGATGGAAGGACCCTTTTGGGAGGCCAAAGACAATATTTTCGTAGCATCCCTTCACAGTGTGTTTGCACTTCCTACGGCAGAGCCTTGCGTTCTACTCCGCATGTTTGTATTCCGTTTCGAAAGGCACTTCAATCAACTTGATCTCCAGCACACCGGCGATCCTCGAGCCTCTTCCACTGGCATTTCTCTTGAGAAAGCCCCAGCTCCAGGCGCGAATCACAGACCGGCGATAAGCGGCGGTGGCGGCGGTGGCAGTTGCATGCTTCATTGACATCTGGTGGCGGGGGCAGGGGCAGGGAGCAGGCGGCACTGAGCAATGGAAGCCCGGCTCTAACGGCGGCTCATAATTGTGGGACCCGAACCTGGAAGAGATAGGTTTCCAGGAAGTGGGTACGCACTGATGCCGCCCGTTGATGTCGCCACCAAATCAGCGAATTCCCCAAACGCATCGCCACCGCACTCCGTTGCTCCTCCTGGCGGATGAGTCAGACTGGTTTCCTCGGGATGTGGGAGTGTGGTAAGGGGGGCCCAGAACTGCGACGACTTTCCCTTTCACCGGCATTATGAATTTGCCGCCATATATACTCGGTGTAGTATCGCCCATATGCGCACGCATCGATCCACTGT